TTTAACTCTCTTACATCAGCCACTTCCTCCCACTTTTAGTATGTAAAAAATAATACAGTATATAAATTTATATTAATATTGATTTTTGATAGTTTTTGGCTTGTAACTTCAATGCGATAGAAGATTGATACCTGAAAATTACTATATTCTACTTTTTGTACTTATTTACATAGGTTGGCGAAATTTCACGAATATTTTAGGGGATTTTTGTCAACAAATGGAGCTGTTAAGTACTCTAGCTGTCACTGTGGCAAGGAAACTCGGGACTCGAGATATCTACTGCTGGAATGTCCACTCTTCTTTAGCGCTAGACAACAGACAGTAAATAATGTTGTAGATCTATACCAATTTGTAAATACTAGAGATAATTATCACAGATTTAGCTATTTTTGTAAATATATTTATGATTATATTTCTAACCTGAACAGGTTCCTAATCTATATTATCGTTTCTCTTTTTATTATTAATTTTGTTTTCTTGTATAGTAAGATTCCGTTAAAAGATAAAATTGGTATAAAGTATGAAATATTAAAAATGTAAACGGTAGCAATGTGTTTCTTTAAAGAGTTATTCTCTCTTAACTTATAGCTATGACTGTAGAAGGATTATAAAGATCCGAAAACTTGCACTTTTCACTAATAAAGAAACGCATTGATTCCATTTTGAAAATAGAGCAAGCCATAAATAAATCTTCAATAAAAAGGCATATATTGGATCAAAATATCATTTATTTTACCAATATTTCAGTTGGCTGAACGCCAACCTTTATCAAGGTATTGTAACATATTAATGTGTGTCAACAACAAACTCAGGGCCACATAACGTCAATCTATGTGGCGCTGAGTTTGTTGTTGACATAAAAATGTTATAATACCTTGGAAAAGGTTGGCGTTCAGCCAACTGAAATATTGGTAAAATAAATGATATTTTTATCCAATATATGCCTTTTTATTAAAGATAAATTTATACCGTTTATATTTTTATATTTAATTTCTTGTATAGTGAGTTTATAACTTTCTGTTTAAAAATGTAAATCGACGCAATTATCCCTAGCGGTGTTATAACGTTTTGTGTGATGAAATAAATAAATTGTTTCAGCCGTTTAAATTGTTTCAGTAAAATTGTTTCAGCCGTTTAGAATTAAATTCTGGAACATAGATGCATATCTACGTATCTAATGGGTTGGATCCTGATCTTTTAAAGATGGTTTGTTGACTTCTATATGGTGTTTAGGCTTTTGTCTGTTTATGTTTCACTATTGGTGGTGGTGTCTTGTTTAAAAATTGTTGCTCCATGGAAAGGGGGGGGGGGGGGGGCATTGCCCCGTTAGTCAGCCACATTTCAGAGTTCCCTGTTCACGGTTACCGTAGCGGCTCGGGGCTCACGACACCGTACTTCCTCCTACAGGGCCGTCCCTTACTTGTGTTGCTCCATGAAAAGGACGGGTGCCATTGCCCCGTTAGCCAGCCACATTTCAGAGTTCCCTGTTCACGATTACCGTAGCGGCTCGGGGCTCACGACACCGTACTTCGTCCTACAGGGCAGTCCCTTACTTGTGTTGCTCCATGAAAAGGACGGGTGCCATTGCCCCGTTAGCCAGCCACATTTCAGAGTTCCCTGTTCACGGTTACCGTAGCGGCTCGGGGCTCACGACACCGTACTTCGTCCTACAGGGCAGTCCCTTACTTGTGTTGCTCCATGAAAAGGACGGGTGCCATTGCCCCGTTAGCCAGCCACATTTCAGAGTTCCCTGTTCACGGTTACCGTAGCGGCTCGGGGCTCACAACACCGTACTACAGGGCAGTCCTTTACTTGTGCTGCTTCTCCCGCCCGCCACTAGAGGAGGACTTCTAGGCAGGATATTTCATCATTAAAAATTGTTATTGTACAAATATTTCACGTTCAGATTGATGTGTTAACGCAATTTTATCATTAGATATCATTAATATATTTTTTAAACCTGTAATCAAACCACGCACATTGAATATATTTTTTATTAGCTTCAATGGTCCTCGAATCCTTTACAGATCCAACTTTATCAGTATGTTCAAACAATCACTTTCTAATTTCAAAGTCAAACTGCTTTCTACGTGTGTAAGAATATGGGTTGAACTTATAGTAAAAATAGTTGCAAATTCTTATTAACCATGATTATAACGGCTTGTACTATATATTTAGGATGTGTAAAATATATATATATTTCAATAATATTCATATTTAATTAAGAATTATTTCAATATTCAAAATGATTTTATATCAAAAGAAGTGCGGATCTTTCAAACTAGTTGCTCAGTCAACACTGAAGTCAATGGGAGTCGAGATAAATAAAGAGAGATGTGGAGTATGGGGAGGGAGAGCTCCCACGCCGCCAGATTTAGAAAAATATTTTGAAAAGCTGCAAATTAGGAGCGGAGGGGTTAACAAGGGTACCTACAGTCCCGGGGTTAGCTAAACATTCGCTGTGTTTGAATTGTATCGTACTTGTCCGCCTTGTATAGCTCTTACTGCTCGCTCGATGGGCAGCACCACATCCTGAACTTACTAGAATCTCGATGTTTGCAGGGATATCTGTGTTTATCTAGAAGATCTGTATAATCCAATATCTCTGTTTTTACCCATGATCTATGTTTTTACATAGGATCCCTACATTTACCAAGAATCTCCAAATTTTACCCAGGATATCTGTATTTACACAGAATCTCCAAATTTACCCAGGAAATCTTTATTTACCCAATATCTCTGTATTTACCCATGTGTGTGTGATTTATATATTCACCTAAGATCTTTACATTTACCAAGAATCTCTGAATTCACCCAGGATCTCTGTATTTACCCAAGAAATCTGTATTTATCCATGATTTATGTATTCACCTAAGACCTTTATATTTACCAAAAATCACTTAATTCACCCAGGATATCTGAATTTACCCAGGATCTCTGTATTTACCCATGATTACTGTAATTCACCCATGATTTATGTATTCACCTAGGATCTTTACATTTACCAAGAACCTCTGAATTTACCCAGGGTATCTGAATTTACCCAAGATTTCTGTATTTACCCATGATTTATGTATTCACCCATGATTTATGTATTCACCTAGGATCTTTACATTTACCAAGAACCTCTGAATTTACCCAGGAAATCTGTATTCACCCAAGATTTCTGTATTTACCCACGAAATCTGTATTTACCCAGGATATCTGAATTTACCCAAGATCTCTGTATTTATTTAAGATCTCTGTAATTCACCCATGATCTATGTATTCACTTAGGATCCCTACATTTACCAAGAATCTCTGAATTCACCCAGGATATCTGTATTTAACCAGAATCTCCAAATTTACCCAGGAAATCTGTATTTACCCAAGAACTCTGTATTTACCCATGATCTATGTATTCACCTAGGATATTTACATAACTAAGAATCTCTGTATTTACTCAGGATATCTGAATTTACTCAGAATATCTGTATTTACCCATGATTTATGTATTTACCCAAGATATATGTATTCGCCTAGGATCTCAACATTTACCAAGAATCTCTGTATTTACCCAGGGTATCTGTATAATCCAAGATCTCTGTATTTACCCATGATTTATGTATTTACCCAAGATATATGTATTCGCCTAGGATCTTTACATTTACCAAGAATCTCTGTATTTACCCAGGGTATCTGTATAATCCAAGATCTCTGTATTTACCCAAGATTACTGTAATTCACCCATGATTTATGTATTCACCTACGATCTTTACATTTACCAAGAATCACTGAATTCACCCAGGGTATCTGAATTTACCCAAGATCTCTGTATTTACCCAAGATTACTGTAATTCACCCATGATTTATGTATTCACCTACGATCTTTACATTTACCAAGAATCTCTGTATTTACCCAGGGTATCTGAATTTACCCAAGATCTCTGTATTTACCCAAGATTACTGTAATTCACCCATGATTTATGTATTCACCTACGATCTTTACATTTACCAAGAATCTCTGTATTTACCCAGGGTATCTAGATAATCCAAGATCTCTGTATTTACCCAAGATTACTGTAATTCACCCATGATTTATGTATTCACCTACGATCTTTACATTTACCAAGAATCTCTGTATTTACCCAGGGTATCTAGATAATCCAAGATCTCTGTATTTACCCAAGATTACTGTAATTCACCCATGATTTATGTATTCACCTACGATCTTTACATTTACCAAGAATTACTGAATTCACCCAGGGTATCTGAATTTACCCAAGATCTCTGTATTTACCTATTATACCTGTATTTAACTCGGATTCTTTATATTTACCAAGAGTCTAGGTATATTTTTGAAGATCTCTGTACCTACCCAAGATCTCTGTACCTACCCAAGATCTCTGTACTTACCCAAGATCTCTGTACCTACCCAAGATCTCTGTATTTACGCAGGAACTTTGTTTTTAACCCTGAATCTCTGCTGTATGTACCCAGAATCTTTGTATTCTTTCAAGATTCCTGTATATTTACGCAATATCTTCTATGTATTTATCCTAGATTTTTGTATTTTTAGGATCTCTGTATTTACCTAGGATCTGTGTATTTATTCTGGATATATCTGTGTTAATCCAAGATATCTCAACAAATGTCGGAGTCATGACATAAAAACTTAAACTCTCATACATTTTACCATAAAAAGAAATCTTTCATATCTATTTTTATTATAAACCTGGCAAAATTACACTAGCTAAGGCTATTCACAAAATATTTCCATTATGATAATAACACAGCAACACACCAAATGTAATTTCAAAATTCAGGCTTCCTTCCCCCTTCCAGTCATTCTTTATTAAAAGACATTTGTTGAAATCGGTGAAGTGACCTTGGCTAGGCGTTCTTCGCCAAATTTTCCGAAATCCTCTTATATTACACATCTCTCGACGGAGTCCCAGAAAGAGAGAATATGATTTAAGGGCTACTAACCAAATTGTATAATTTTTGAACCCCAAAAAATGTTCCCGCGCCAGGAATCGAACTCGGGACTCCAGGGTGAGAGCCAGTTATCCTAGCCACTAGACCATGTGGTAGATAGTGTCACAGACTGGAACTATTAAATAAAATAACCCAGTTGCAGAAGGAGAATCCAATTCCAACCATAGAGACGATACTGCCTTATCTTAGATAGGATCCCTTCCTTCTCAACAAACTGTACAATGTATCAAAATGGGCTCCACTCCTTCAAAATGTAATACAAACAATGTATTTTGGTTATTTTAGATAATAAAATGAGTATAAAAGAGACTCATCCTTAAACGTTTACTTTATTATCTAAAATTGCTATCAAAGGATAATATTCTAAATTACTATGTATTTTGGTTAATCTTCTCAACACAGTACATCATGGAGTCGATAAGGAAAGAGAGACAACACCAGTTTTATACATTTTAACAGGGAAAGGTTCTACTTCTGGTACATAAGTACCATCCTTCCGGCAACCTGATGTATTCTAGCTTGAAAATTGGCCCTTGCCACTTTACCAGCTTAACCACCTTTTTGGTAAATTCAACCGATTTTATAACTTCTTTCGTAGGATGTAATGAAATCGAAGCCACCCCTAGGACCATAGCTCCAAACCATGGTATACACGTTGTTGGATTTTTGCCTAATTTTTCCAAAATTGGCGTTGAGGCTCATTCCTTAACACCAACATAACGCTCTGTACTGAGATGATGAACCAAAATGCATTGTTATAATGCATTTTTTAAAGGAAGAGGTTCCTCTTTTGAAACATGAAACCATTATTCCGTAAAATTTACAATCTAAAAGAATAAATATACATTCTGAAAGGAGTTATGAAACTAATTATGGAAGATATGACCGAAAGTAAATGAAGATTGTGGATATTTTATCATGAATATCTTCGCCTTTGATTTTAATCTTTAAAATTGGTTATATCATTAATTGTCCCTTACAAACTTATCAAATACTCTGTTATCCTTCCCTCTTTTTTATCCTTGATGTAAATATACAGTAGAACCTCCCTTTAGCGGACACCTCTCTACAAAGAACAGTTTTCATTTGCAAAATTACCATTTTTACTATTCAGTAACTCTCCGGTAAGAAGACACCTCTCCCTAAAGGACACTTTGGCTCTGTAATTAGGTGTTGTCCTTTACTGGGAGGTTCTACTGTATGTAATAAATAATATTTATATCTCTCTTGTAAACGTAGATGTCACTTGGGAAGTTTTACAATATGAAAAAATCAGACGGCCAGTAGGTAGAAGTGGTATTTGATTATAAAAATATAAACGTTCGAATCAATGCATTAGAAGTGAATCTCCTATATATGAACAGAAACTCATCTCCAGAAACATAGTACCTTATTTAATTAATAAAAAATATAAACTCTCATGAAATGGATGGAAATGTTTCTCCTTCGTTAAATAAAGCAGCTTCCTTGTTGTCATTACTATCATAGGAGGGTCTCACTGATCAAGTGTGGAGAGAGAATTAAAAAAAAAATCGCAAAATATACAGAGTTTTACATTTTTTTAAATATCGATTTTAGTACTTTAGTAAAAATAATTTATTAATGTTTGTACAACTTATTGTTCTCTATGTGTAAGCCTTGACATTGGGCAAAAGCCTTGCGTCGATGTTTCTAGGAAATAAGGCTTCGTCTATTTTGATCAAGACCATCCCAACTGTTCTTAACAACTTTCCAGAGACCCTCTAGCGCGTCTTACATTTTAAAACTATTTATTCAAACATTACTATTAACTACATAACATTATCGTCTTAGCACTAGACTATCATCTAGTGTCTTAGGTTTTCTAGTAGGACTGGGTCTTCGGGCGAGGCCTGGATGACAACACCATCCTGGTGTCTACCAAGACATTCTATATACAGTTACGAGCGTCATGCGTTCTTAATCAATTCTTCAGTTTTCATCTCTGTCACCGTTTGCTTTTTTTTTTTTTTTTTTGGAATGGCGCTCTCCTATTGGTTGGCTACGATCACGCCACCTTTGCCCCCCCCCCCCCCCCCCCCATCATGCCCCCCCCCCCCCCCACTCGCTTTTTCGTTTTTGTAACTATTGTGTTGGAGCGGGTCGCTCCTTAAATAAATGCATATATTAGTTAATAATTAAATGGAATCCTCTCTTTCTTTTTCTCAGTAAGAGACACCTACGGAAGCCAACAGTACATAGACAGATAAAGCACACAGGCTATAGTTATTAACTAATATATGCATTTATTAAATGCGCCAATTTATAATTGTAACAAATAGTATTTGAATAAAAACATTCAATCAGGTAAAACACGGGCGTTGCCCGGGTCATTCGGCTAGTGTCTCTATAAGTATTATCTTAACATTGAACTGAGAGTCCTTGTCTGGAGAAGGACAAGATGGAGGAACCTCCCTTCCTGAAAACAGCTCTATATAGTTTATCATTAATTGTAAATAATATCATTTTTCTTTGTTTAATTTGATTTTTGTAACAATTGACTAAGTGAAAAATAGTACAAATGTGATATTGTACTGGGATAAGATGCATAAATAGTGAAAAAGGCATCTCCTTATCGAGCAACTGAAAGTTGCTGATAGCTTGCGCCATCTATCGGAATAAATATCAACTATTCTCGTTTATTTTTAATTTTTCCAGAATTGGCCAAATACCCATTCTTGATTAATCAAGAAAAGCTAACCACGGAGGCGTTTCGGGCTGTTGGCCCTCATCAGCGTGGTGCAAGCCAGGATGCTTGAATGACCAGGTTTTTGGTCGTTGAGGTACAGCTTGCACCACGCTGGTTAGCTTTTCTTGATTAATCAAGAATGGGTATTTGGCCAATTCTGGAATAATTAAAAATGAACCAGAATAGTTGATATTCCGATAGATGGCGCAAGCTATCAGCCACTTTTAGTTGCACAATAAGGAGATGCCTTTTTGATTAAATACACTAAGTGTTTCAATAAAATATTTTGAAGGGTCAAATTGATCTATAAGACAAATGATGTGGGCCGGCTAAGTTTCGTGCGCCATCTTGGGGCTACTTTGACTGTTCCAAACTTTTTCGTTTTCGATTTTTGTTTGATAAAGAATACCCAGCTCTCGGTAACAATTTCATCCATTAGACGAATCACCCGGCTTCGCCTTAGAATTCCCCCGAGTGAAATTTCCTTCATACTGAAAGTACATCAATAATAAATAGTAGAAGTGCCATAGAATAGCAATACAGAAGTAACACAGAAACCACAGGCAAAAATTGTGTGTGAAAGCAAAAATTATATTATATTAGTGTTTAGGTATTTGATTCAATTATTTTTTGCAATCCATTTAGTTGTTTCAAAATCAATATAGTTTAAATATACGGCAGCTTTTCCACCCAACCCCCGAGGTACCCGCCCCAGCGCATTAACCCTTGAAATTGCCTGAGTTGAGTGAGTGACTGCGATGGATCTTTGACTGCGATGCTCATCTTCTCAGTAAGAATAAGAAAAAATAGGTTTATTAAAAAAAATAATCCAAAATACTGGAATGTAAATATTTTTCTGTAAAAAAAAAAGAAAGAGCACATGGAAATTAGGCAAACATTTTTGTTTATCGCGAAACAGACAACAGACAATGACTTTTATATATAAGAAAAAAATGAATTTACTTTCAACTTTCTACTAAATTATCAAAGGCATTTCCTAGTTTACATTCATCATTTGCTTTCAATTTAAAGCGCTATGTTCCCCTAGGGACACTTGCGCTGTCATACATGTATGCCTTCACATTTGTCTATACATATATAAACAATAATTTTAGGCCGTGAATAGAATAGTCATATGATGTTAACAATGGAAAGAGAGAAAAAACGAGAAAAATACCTTTGTACCAAAGAAAGAAGTGTCTGGCAATGTGTACAATAAGCATAAGTTATTAGGTATGTGATTTTGAGAATTTAAACGAGGAAGAATTCATCAAACTTACCTCACGCACTGTTTGGATATTATTGGATTCAATATGGGACTTTAGATATTCATTTTTGAAGATTGACCGACGACCACGATCATCTTGATCTTCAAGTCCGAAATCGCCAACTTTAAATTTCTGAAACCTTCTTCTTGTGGTTCTTTTGGAAGAAGAAGCTTCTCCCCAGGCCTCAATAATTTGTTTGGTTGCCTGGGCGGCCGAACGTCCAAGTTTAAATTCGTGAAGCAAAATAATGCGCAAATTCCTAGGTTCCATTGCTCAATATTTTAAATTATAGATTTTTTATCATTCCTGGAATTTCCGAAAGAATGACTGCACGTGCTGTGTACTTTAGAACAATATATAATTTGCATGTGTTTCCGAATTATTTATGTAATTTTTTTTCATTTAAAAAATGTGTTTCCAAAAATGGTCATTATTTAAGTGACAACCTAATATATCGTCGCGTGAAGGCATCGCGTGATCAATCAAAACATTTTTAAAACAAGAAAAGCCCTGAAATCGAAGACAAGAACACCTATATAAAAACGAAAATGTGGAAAATGCATTGAAATTTTTTTTCCAATAATGATCCTCGGGTAGCTAGCAGATCAACACCATATGAAAATGGGATCAGCTGTACTTTCAGAATGTTGCATGAACAATGAAAATTGACTGCAGCTGATAGTTTCCCCATGGGCTCACGAAAGACCGATAATTCTATGGGGGAAAAAAAAGACTTTCTTCGTTTAGTGATTTACATGCTGAATTTATTTGGTGAGTTAATTCGCGATTTGAGGCATGCTAAACTTTTGGGACAATTTTCTCGTGACAGAGAGTAAAAAGAATTCACACTCGCCTTTTGAGTGATACGCTAACTTATGCATGGTGGATTCTGTGGCCATTGTACATGCGTCGGACCTGAAAGTTGTTAGGTTCTGCCCTTCCAGGAGTATAGGAGCTCCATCTATGCTTCTTTCCTATGGTGAATCTGTATAAGACCGATGGTCTTAATAAAGCTGTATGTGTTGTTGTTGGTTGTTTGTTTAAAACAATCAATGACTTACGCAAACGATTTATTTAAACGATAATAATAACATGTGTAAGTAAAAAGAATTCTCACAAG